CACGCTTCAGATTATGCTGAGTTCCAAAAAATACCCCGTTTCAGACCCCTTTTAACCTAAGAACCCAACCACCATTGCTTGGTCTTTTCCACACCTAAATGCGCCTCCGTCCACTTCAGGCTTACGTTTCAGATGCACAGAACTAAAAATAACACAGACTTACTACCTGGACTGCCTTGCCTGTGGGTTTTTCAGAAGATTGCCTGTCTCCTGGGAGCAAGAACCAGCTCACAGTGCCACATCCCAGTGTCAGAGCCGCTCTTACATAACCCCTGTGGTGCAGCCAGTCCGTGGCTCCGTAACGTGATGGTGAGGTTATTTTTACAGTCTCATGGCAACAGGTTTTCTGCTCTGACATGTTTCCATAGTAGTAGCAGGAGGAGGATCAAGTGCCTGCCTGCCCTAAAAGCTTTGTTTTGCTGTGCAGAATGTGTTTAGCCCCTTTGTTTTCTTACGGGGAACAGAACTGAGCTCTGCAGTGCAGAGGGCTGGCTGAGCAGCCAAGCATCCCTGTGTCAGCTAAAATGCCTCATTCAAGCCCACTGCAGCTTCCAAACTGGGAAACCCTCAGAAACAAGGCAGGCAGTGCCTTGTGCTGAGCCAGTGGTGTCTGGAGGGAAGTGGGAACTGCTGCTGCCCGACACGAGGGGAGAGTGAACTTCATCCCTGATGGTCTCTCCCACCCCAAGCTCGGGATCAGCACCACACTTTGTGCTGAGCAGGGAGATTCCCAAAAAGCTGCTTCAGTTGTCTCTTCCTGGCGTCACAGCAGCCTGCCAGGAAAATGTTAACAGGGGAGTTACACATCACCTGCCTCTTCCTGCCTGTAGAGGCGAGGTGATGTTTCACTTTCAGGTGATGCTGCCCTCGTATTTTGTTAGTTAGACACCACAGCCAGAGATGATTGTGGGCACACTGAGATGTGCATGTCGAAAGGTTGCAATGAGGTTACAGTGCCTGTCAGCACGGACAATCCAAGTGCTGCTTCCCAACAGTAAAATACACAACCAGCTTCAGGTAAGTGCCCAATTAACAGTCGCCACAGCCACTGCAGGGTGTTTTCTTTTTTTGAAAGCACTTGCTCCTTTTGGTCTCTTAATCCCCTAAGGACTCACACTTGTCTTGTTGTCCAGCAGAGGTGTGTGCTCTCCTGCTGACATGCAGAAAGCTTCAGGACCGAGCAGGGCACCTGCCAGCACTGGGTGAGTTCTGCACCAAAATGTGTGTTTGATGTTTTCATTCACCAGAGCACCCAGATCTCCCCCTCTGCTGACAAGCCTGTCATTCCATATCAGGTCAAAGCCTCCAACATGCTCCTCCTGCTGTGTCAAACCCATGGACTGAAGTACCTGAGCAAGGACAATTCCCCGTCTGCACACAGGAATCAGCTCCCAACCAGCCACACAGCTGAACAGCTGAAAGCACTGGACATCTCTCTGCTATTAATATCTACAGTTGTGAAGTCAATCACAAAACGCTGTCAGACCAGCTGCTGGGAACAGAGAGCTCCAGCAGTGGCACGAGTGGGAGGCACAGTGCACAGGGACCTCTGACAGAGAGCTCTTGTGCAAGTTCCAGCTCTGACATGGGCTCCAGTCCCTTGGCAGCCCCGTGCTGCCTTGTTTTCCCACTCTGAAGGGGCAGGATGCTTCTTTACTTTTCTCTGCTCCTGGATATTCATCATTGAATCACTGTAAAGGTTAGACAGTCACGATCAGTTGCCAAGAGAGTCGTGGAACCAGACCATCCATCCCAAATGTTCTAATAAAACTCCACAGAAAGTGATAAACATCTTCACCTCCCTGCTCTTCCTGTCTACAAAACAAAGTGTGTCTCTGAAAAGATGACACTGGAGTTCAGTCTTCCTGGTTACTGGCAGGAGGGAAGGTAAAGCATTTACCTCCAGAAACCAGCAGAGATTACAACAGTAAATTAGGGGGAAACAGGTCATTTTGCCAATGGCTCATTAAGAGAAATGCCTGCCCAAAATCATCACCCTGCTAGCAGGCAGGAATGAGTGTGAAGCAATAGGAAATCCAACCCTAAATCTCTTTCCCATGTTCTGAGCCAAAGAACATTCTGAGCTTATTGCAAAGTTTCTATTCCTGTTCTTGACGGTACTAAAGACAAAAAAAAAAAAAAAAAATTCCTTTGGCTTCTAGAAAGAAAAGTGAAAACCAAAGTCATGCTGAAGCAGTAAGTGCTGAGAGGGATTCACAGAATGAGCATTAACCCTTTTTAATTGCAGATGTGGGTGTCTGCAGGGAGCAGCTTCCCAGCAGAGTGTTCAAATCTCTCTCTGAGAGCCCAGCAGCACTGTGATGACATCAAGGACTTTCATTCCAATTAATTTCTTTCCGAACCAACTGAGGTTACTCCAGCTCTTTACCTGCAGGCTGCCCAAGCAGTAATTTTGTTTGAGGTTTTGAATGGAGTAGATTGTGCAAGTTAGAGTTATCCCCGACCAAAGCTGAGCTGTATTTATTTGCTCATTTGAAATAAAGCTGTCCCCAGTGGCACCGTGTGAAATACTGGGCTGAAGCTGACAGGACACAGGGCTGTAACAGATAACACCAGTGACCAGGTCTTGTTAGAGGGAAGAGTTAAAAAAAGAAATTAGAGACAACATTTCATGAGAGAGCAACATCAACCTAAATCACATCTAAGGGAAATTGCCTTACCTACGGTACTGCTTGCACTTTACATGATTAAGGCTGAAAGAATAATAATCCTAATTTTGCTTGTCATTTCTGTAGTAGTGTTTGCTCTTTCTGTTCCTCTCAGCTCCTGTAATGACAAGGCAGTTGCACTCTTGGGTTCCTGCTGTTGCAATGCTCGGGTTGCGTACGTAGCAAGATAAAATTCTGAGAATTTCAGCTGAACTTTCAGGATAAATATTTTTCACTTAGTCAGGGAGAAAACCTGTATTAAAAATTAAAAAAAAAAAAAAAAAAGAAAGTCAAATTTTGTTTTCAAGGGGTTTTTCTTGTTGTTTTGTCACTTGGGGGTTGAGCGCTGTCTGAGCGGCTCCATCACCCACCTGCAGCCCTGAGACATCCAAACAATTATATAAAGCTCTTCCCAACAGATGACCACACATTTAGTCCATGTGATTTGTTTTCAACCACAGCCTCCATAGCCCAGTAAGAATTCTGAGCAAAAGGCCAAAGACCACAAGGTTGGGGCCACCAAGCCCACATGCCACATAAGCTCTCCAGGCTTGCCTGCTTGTACAGCTGCAGGAGAAAACAGTCCCCAGGTCCCCATCAGAAGTTCTCCAGCAGCTCTCAACATCTTCTCCGCTCTCAGGGTGCTGCAAAGACCCTCCTTTCCCTACTGATGAGAGGGATTCATAGAAAGGAGCAGCCCATAAAATGGGAAATTCAAGACCATCCTCTAACACTGATTTCTGTCTCAGATTCACGAGGAATCTGATATCCTATTTAATATTTCCCCCCTCTCTCTCTTTCTCTCTCTCTCTTCCCCTCAGCTGTCACCTCTTGAGAGGCAGCTTCACAGTGACAGCTGTGTGCAGCAGTGCCAGCCTTGCTGCATCTCTGAGGTCTCAGAGACGAAGGGCTGAGCTGTGTCTGCCTCTCAGAAGTGCACTAACCAGAAAGTTATCGGATTTAAAGTCAAAAAGATCCACCCCCATAGATGCACATTAAAGCAGAACACCGGCCCGGCCTCACTCCCAGTGCTGCTACCAAGGAAATCACGTGGATGGATGTCAGGAGAGGAGGCAGCACAGTTAAGTGGCTGCAGCACAAGTGGCAGCTGGCAGGGTGAGGTCACCTTGCCTGCACCTGCCAGAGATCCCAACAGCAGGCAGCAGGGAATAACCTGCAGGCAGCAGGTACCCCTCACCTGCCCCGGATCAATCAGGTGCAGCCCTTTGTGCTGCCACCTTTGTGACTGGAACATCTGGGATGAAGCAGAGATAAGAATTCAAGACAAACACAGGCAAACAAACACACAATTCTCACTCCAACAGTCCTTGTGTGCCTCAGCACCAAGTAATTATTTTCCCTGTCTGTTCCTAACTTTTTTGGCCCCATCTTCAGACACCCAAGGTGAAATTCAACACTCCATTATGCCATCTGACCAAAAATTGCAGAAAAAAACCTAAAAATCAGAAGTAATCAAGAGGGGTAACTAGAAAAGGAAAGAGCATTTTCCCTGAGCTAGTACTGCACCTCATGGTGAGGCACTGGCACAGGTCGCCCAGGGAAGCTGTGAATGCCCCAAATGCCCCGTTGTGATAAACCAAACTCTGCTTACATAAATTAGTTGAGCCCTTTGATCTGTTGTTTCCCTGATAACCTGGGACTGATGTCTTCAACAAAGCGTTTCCAGATAAAGGAACAGGCCGATAAGAAGCAGATCCTTCAGAGGTGAGATAATGTTCGTTTTCATGCCCATTTCCTCCTCTGACAAGGCACAGATGCATCTTGCAGTGTAAAACTCCCCTACCAGAGGGTGTATCGAGGCATTCCCCCCTAGGACTGAACTTACATAACCCGTGGAAATCCTTGTCACGTGAGCCCCCACTCCCAACAGGTCAAGACTGTGACCATCACTCACGGACATCAAAACTGCAATGATCAAGTCATCACTGGATCCACGGGTGGTGATATCTTACCTCTCCACTTTCTACTCAGTGTACCTTCCTCCTAAGGCAGCCTGCTGCACCCCCACTCTGTAAAGGCTTTTGATCATTCAGAGCCAGCATGAACTCTGCTGAACCTCCACAGAGAGAAGTGATGGATTTTCCTGTCTCCTAAGCCATCAAATTGAGGTGGCATACCTTTTGGGAAGATGTGTTAATCAAATGAAAGCTCTCAAACTCAATACAGCAGCAAGTGTGACACATCGGAAATCAAATAGTTCTCCCCCAGTGAATCACCTTGTCCTTACGTTCTGTGAACCCGAGGAAGAAGAAAGGCTGCCAAAATCCAGCCACCAACAACAAAACCAGGAGTGACATTTCAGCTGTGTCCCGAGCTGATTTGTCAAACTGGCATTTCCAGTGATCTGGTGACACCAGTTTTCCAATGAAAAAGGACTGGGGAGAGACAGGCTGACAACAGCAGCGACGGGACAGCCGAGTCCTGTAGGTGTTTGCAGGAGCTGGAAGTGACAAGGTTCATCTGATGTATCTAATACCAGGCAGCAGAACTATATAGTCCTTCTCTTACCCTTCTGTATGGCACAGACAGGCAGGATACAGCCATCACCCCTGCTATTCTGAGTAAATCCTGCATTAGAAAAACAAGCAAATCCACCTCAGTCCAAACAGGCCTTCAGAGGAATGTACTGGGAGAAGAGGAAACTGGGCATTAAGTGAAGGAAATCCATTATTGGTATAATAATGGCGGTTTGCACTTACAGTTGTCGCTAGAACATAAACTCTTACTTCAAACTTTCAACCTATAAAGTGGAAAGAAATCTTAGAATCACAGAAAATCCTGAGCTGAAAAGGGCCTACAAGAATTGAAGTCCAGCTCTTGGTGCTGTGCAGGACCACCCCAAGAATGTATGGTATAAATATATTATAAAATATATGTATATTATATATAAAATAAATTTATATTATTAATATAAATGTAGACTACAGCCCAGTTTCTGCCTGGTGTTTGATGCACCTGAGATTGAAAGTTTGTATATGAATATGAACTGTAAGAAGTAGATCCCAGAGAAAGTATCCATTTTGGAAAACCCACTGTAAAAGCCTTTGTTGTTGCCTTGGGGAATGGTGAAGGAATATTGCAGGACAAGGGCACAGGAGAACAGACCAAGCCACTGGCAGAAGGAGAGGATGAAATAAAAGCAAAAAGAACAAAATGCCCTTCGGTTATTCCCAAAGAAGAGACAGTCATTCTCACCTTCTTCAATCAATTATATATCCTTCAGTTTTCAGGAACATTTCCTCACCTTGTGACTTGCCAACCTACGGATGGAAGAGCAGAGTTAGTAGCGTGAACATTAGCAATTCCTGTGGTTTCTCAGAATTTCAGTGCAGAAGCCCTGCATAACCTGATTCATCAGCTGTTTGTGTGCAAGCACGTTTATTTAAGTTTATGGGGGCAGGGGAATCCAACAAAAAAAGCCTCAGATTTGTGTTTGGAGGATTCCTGGAGGAAAGGCAGCCTATGGGGAAGTCCCACAGCACCGAATAAACAAACTCTGTCACGCGCTTCCAGAAATATACGTAACGCAACATATGTTGTTGGGAATTTTAAGTCCCATTTTAAAATTGTGTATGTTATAGAAGAACTTAATTAAACAGGAAAGTCAAGAAAGATATCAGGGAACTACGGCAAGCAAGAGCAGAAAAATCCCAAAGATAGCCTTGACCACACGTTGTAGAACAGAGGGTGAGGAGTGGCCTGGATAAGGCACCCGAGGAGCACAACTCCCCAGGAACACCTTCCTGCTCCCTGCAGCCCCAGGATGCAACACAGGGCACGTCCTGACCTACTACTGCCTCCGAGGGTGGGAGTGGGCAACTCGGGACATCACAACACCAGAAGGAGTTTATTTTTACTTGCCTGCCAGTTTTGAGGTCAGCCACAAACCGTTGGTGTTGTTGGTATAATTTCAGTAATCACAGGCTTTTCATATATCCTTGTTTACTGTGTTCTGGTTATTTACCGTGTTAATTGAGGTTGTGGGGCATAACATCAGCTTAATATAAGGGTTTTGTTGCCAATTAACACATTCCCATTTGTAGAGTTGGATAATCACTAGCTGCTATCCTCCCGGCTGTAATTCACATGTTAGTTTGCATAATTACCTCCCAGTCACTTCTCACAAGGGTAAGGCAAATCCTCCTGTCCCAGCCTCCTCGCCAGACCTGCTGCACAAAGCATGGGGACTGCTCACTCACAGGGCTCACGGGTGGGTGTGTTTGTCATCAGGCACCGTGGCACAACACTCGGGACATTAAATGGCCGAAGCCTCCAGGAGAGGCAAGGTGTTTCTCAGTGTGGCTCTGTACTGCTGGGATTTCTAAAGGAAATTTTTCCATAATCTCCAAGTCACTGGTTGAAGAGGAATGTGGTGTGTTCAGCACAGCTCCAAACAGCTGCAGGTTTGGGGGGGACAAACGTGATTCGGAGCACGAGGCTACCCTTCATGTCTCTAACTGCAGAGCTCATTCCAACCAAATCTACCCCAGCTTGTGCTCCAGGATGCTAATGGATGTCCCATCCCTGGAAGTGTCCGAGGCCAGGTTGGATGGGGCTTGGAGGAACATGGTGTAGTGGAAGATGTCCCTGCTCACGGCAGGGGGGTGGAACAAGATAGTTTTTAAGGTCCCTTCCAACCCAAACCCTTCTGGAATTCTCTGACATGAGTCTTCTGTAATCTCTTCACATTCTCAGGGTGGAATTCTGCTCAGTAAGCTTACAGCAGACTTACACTGGCTGACATCTAATACAGTGGGATTTCCCTAAAATCGAATGAATGTTTTCATAGCTCCATCTTTAGGGGCTGCCCTAATGCTCATTAACCAGAAGCCAAATTAACCACCTGCCCTGCACACTCCCCCACACACACACACACACCTTCTCGCACACCTGCAGCAGAACTGAAAGATTTCAGAGCATGAACTCGGCCAGAACCCCACAGCCAGAACCCCTGGGAGCACACACTGTTCCTTCACACCGAGCTCTGCACTTTATACCTTCACCACTGAGTTAACTTTGGCTCTGCAAATAAACTGAGGTGACTTTCCACTGCTGAAATAAAGCGTTACACAAGAAGCAGTGTTTTGGTGGTGCATGTTGACCAGGAACCTGGCCAGGAGCACTGCTGCTCCATGGCACCTTGCTTTGTCCAATTCTTCCTGCGGGTTTCCTGCATATTTTCCTCTCCCTCTGCAGAACGAAGGCATCCATTCATCTCTCACTTTCCTTGGGAAAGCACACACTCACCAGGTTCATAACCCAAGCGGTGCCAGGGCTCTTGCAAAATTCTTCCACAAACAAGTAGTACTCTGAAGGCATTTTGAGGGTCTTCAGAATAAAGGCACATTTTCTTGCCTCAGGCTTTCCTGCTTCCCCTTCTAACTGCTTCCAAAACCTCTTCAGATCTTTTTTGAAGCAGCTGTTCTGACTCAGCTGGGTAGAAAGAGAAATATAAGATTCAGCACAACAAATGCTCCCACAGTCTGACTCACTTTAATTACCCTTGAGAAGTTTCTGGGGACCAACTGCACCACATACTCTGAGGGGAAAAATAAATAAATAGGGATAGCATTGAGAACTGCTTTTTCTTCTTGAAGGAGGATTTCGATTTTCTGTCTCTCTGCATGGACACGGGGAGCTAGAACCGAGCAGGTCTTACAATCCATGTTCTACTATTCCTACTGTAGCGTTTCCATGCAGCCAGCACCCGCCTCTCCAGGGCAGGCAGTTGCCCACAGGAACCCTGCAGCAGCCCAGCCCCACCACTCCTGAACCACCACAGGTGTCAGCCCAGCATTACAAACCACCCTCAGACTCCATTCACAGAGTCAGAGATGCTTTGGCTTGGAAGGGACCTTAAAGACCATCTGTCCCAGTTTAAATGAGACAAAGGTCTTTTGCTGAGGATGGATTAGGAGAAAAAAAGACCCAAACTTCCTTTTCTAGCAATTATAAATTCGAAATTAAGAGGCTCCGATTGAAGGAAAACAAATTATGGAAAAGGGAAAAAAAAAAATAACAGCTCTTTATTAAAAGGTATGTGTGCATTAACAGGAACACGAAAAAAAAACAAGTAAAACAACCAAGCAATACCCCTATACCCACCAATAATCCCCTTCAAGAACAAAACCGATAAAATCGGCAAAAAGAAAATCAAATAGTTCAATTTTTAGCATCCTTTGGTGCAGTTCCAGCCACAGTCAGCAGGGCGCGCCGTTGGGTCACTGGAGATGCAAAATTTGTAATGTCTTATACCATTCACCAGGTGGCGCTGTTGGATCACTGGAGGAGTAGAACTTGCAATGTCCAGCACCCGTCACCGGGCGGCGCTGTGGGATCCCTGGTCGCCGCCGGGTGGCGATGGAGGAGGGGGGAAGGGGGAGGGAAACAGAAAGCTCTCCCAATGGAAGAAAACTCACGATTTTCGGTTGGTGAGGACCCCGCAGTGAGCCAGGCCCGTAACCAGCAAACAGCTGCGCAGAGAACAGCAGCAAAAAAAACTCTCCTCCGACAGGCAAAAGACAAAGAAGCAACCAGGCAGTCTCTCCTGCTTGCTGCAGCCTCCCCTCCGGCTCCAGAGCTGAGCTCCAACCCCCAAACCCCACCTCTTTCCATACACACACCCTGGCCTTTTTCCCAATTCCTCCCTCTTCGTTGCTAGGAGATTAATGTCTGGTCATTTAGGGCTCAGGCCAACTCCTTTGTTTATCTGATGGCCCATTAACACATACACACAGAAGGGGGAAGGGGAAAGGAAAGACAAAATTTCTTGCTAAAATCAGAACTATGACATTATCCACCCCTAATTTTTCTTTCCTTTCCCATGCCACTATACATCTATCAAAGTGAACCTTTTTTTTTTTTTGAACTCCATACATACATACATTATCCTAAACCACATATACATTCACAAATACATATATAGGTACAAATACAGATACTGAGTTATGGCCTGTTTACCCTAAGATGATATCTCCTTGAGGTATGCACTGGGTTTCTCCATCTTCTTGCATCACTCACCATGTGCAACCAGGTCCTTGGGCAAAGACAACTCCACGAATGGATTTGCCTTTGCTCGAGGCATGGTTAACCCAAACTGTTTTACCTAACATACTTCTTATGTGAACCACTGGGACCTTGTCCCCGTCTACAGTGTGAAAGGACTCTGACTGGGCAGGGCCAGCTCGATTGACGGAGCCTCTAGTGTTGACTAACCATGTAGCCTTTGCTAGGTGTTGATCCCAGTGTTTGAAAGTCCCTCCACCTAATGCTTTCAGGGTAGTCTTCAACAGTCCATTGCACTTTTCAACTTTCCCGGCAGCTGCTGCATGGTATGGTATGTGATAGACCCATTCAATGCCATGCTCTTTCGCCCAGGTGGTAACTAAACTATTCTTGAAGTGTGTCCCATTATCTGACTCAATTCGCTCTGGGGTGCCGTGCCGCCACAGGACCTGTTTTTCGAGGCCCAGGATGGTATTTCTGGCAGTGGCGTGGGGCACAGGA